AGTCCCTGTTTCTTCTCTTTGGGTTGCTTCTATGCCAGGCAGAGGAAGTCAGCTCTTGAAGGCTAGAACACCACACAGAATGCAAAGACGTTACGCTTGCAACCTATTCCTGCAGGTTCGGTTTGTTGGTGTTGTAGCTGGGTGAGGTTTGGTTGTCTTTCTCTAAGGGTCATGAGCCGGAAGTAGGGTCCCAGCAATGGTAGTGCAGAATTGGTGGAAGCTGTGTAAAGTAGGGCCTGGTGGGGGACAATTAGGTTGCAAGCAGAGTGTGGTCACATTCATGCAGGCCCTCTCGGATTAGTCAGTTAGTTCATGAGTTAGTTCTCAAGTGTTGGGACTAAAGACATATGCCATCATGCCAGATACATGAAAGTAGGTTTTTGTTTTTAGATAAAATTTTTTTCACAATTTATTTATCATATATCCTAATTGAAGCCCCCTCCCTCAACTCCCCCGAGTCCCATTCCCTCCCTATTCCCTTCTATCTGCTTCCTTTAGTCCACTGAAATGGGAGTTCTCCACCATTGCCATCTGCCCATAGCTTATCAAGTTTCATCAGGACTGCCTGGAATCTCTCCTCCATGGCCCAGCAAGGCTGCATCGCCAGGAACAAGTGATCAAAGAGTAGTCAACCGAGTTCATGATAGCCCCTTCTCCCCTCACTTGGAGATCCACATGGAGACCGAGCTGCCAGTTGGCTACATCTGAGCAGGGGCTAGACCCTCTGCTCAGAAAGTGTTTTTTTTTTTTTTTTTTTTTTTTTTTTAATAAAGTGAGTACCTTTGACCTCTTCTGCATATTGCTGCTTCCTTCCCAGCTTCGTCACTTCACATGCAGCCAGGGGTCCTTCTTAAGGATGCAGGTGTCTGGCTGTTTGGACCTTTCATCCATCAGAATTGTGAGCCATGTCAATCCGTATTTTTACCCATTACCCAGCGGCGTGCTTTGTTATAGCAACACAAAATACGCTAGTAGTCCCTGAAGACCTGCATGGAGAACTTGGTCCTTGTGATCTCCCAGGTGTTGGTCCTGCAGCTGTGGTTGTGTAACACTGGTTCGATGGACATGTTGTAGCTGGTCTTCTAACCGTTCAAAAGCAGCGTTAGGGACCCCGCATCCATCAACTCCCTATTGTGGTTATAACACGTTACTCAAAACATAGTGCTCTAAAACAATAAAAAATAACACAGTCTTATAGTTCTGGAGGGAATCTTATAAGCCAACTGGAAAGCATTGTCCAGACTGTGTTCCTTTGGGAGGCGTTTCTTTTCAAATTATTTTTAAGTGTACACAGAGGTCAGAGGATAACTTGATGGGTTCTCCTTCTGCCATGTCCCAAGGATTCTACTTAGGTCATCAAGCTTGGCAGCACGTATCCTAACCACTGACCTAACTTGATGGCTCAGCCTTTTGGAGGTCTTTAGGGGCAATTTGTTCCTTGTTTTTTTTTTTTTCTTCCTAGTTTCTGGAGGCTGCTGGTATCTCCTGATCATTGCCCCAACCTCATGTTACCCTGCTCTCTACTTTCATCACCACATCTCTGTGGCCTTCTTGCCTCCTTTTTGTAAAAGCTGCTGTCTCGCCTCCCTTTTGTAAAAACCCGCTCTCCTGATGCAGGAGAGTCTCCCCATTAAGCCCTCGACTTAACCACTGCGTTGCACGATCTCCCTTGCTGGGTAAGGCAATGTGTTCACAGTCCTGGGACGAACGTGTGGACCTTCTGCTAGTTGCCTTCCAGTCTTTGCTGTTGCCTCACTGAAGTCACTGCCTCAGAAAGGTCTTCCGAGACCACCTTAAAACCCCCATGCACTCTGGTTGTTTGGGCCACCTTGCCTAATTTTATTAACTCTTAAAAGGCTGATTGTAAATTAAAAGCAAAACAAACAAACAAACAAACAAAAAACCCAAAAAACAAGGGTGATTGTACTTTCCAAACTCACTTTTTGTCTAATTAACAATTCACTTTCTGTCTCCCTGCAGTGAGCAGGTTGAGCAGAGGCATCGTCCATCTAGCTCCTTTTTAACACTTACTGCACTGTCAGAGAAGGTCGTTCAGCTGCTCATTCTGAATATAGTCTGTGACAACCACCTTACGTTAGCATTGTATTAAGTAACACACACGTAAAAAAACTGAGCCGTAGTTAAAGTAGGCTTTCCTTATATTTCCTTTGAATTTAACTGTCTCTTGGGACGTGACTGAGGTCAATTAAATAAATAAATAAATAAATAAATAAAAGCCAATATAAAAAGGAACTGAAGGGAGAATAAAAAAAAAATGGTACTGGAGGACCATTATGTTAAGTGAGGTAAGCTGAGGTTGGACAGCAGGTACCAAATACATGAGATGGAGCGGTAAGTGCCAGCATTCTACTGCACCATAGGGTGATGGTAGTTCCCAGTTAGCTCTTAGATATTTAATGAAAAATTAGAAGAGAAGAGCTCAGAGGTTCCAAATATTAAGAAATGATGAGGAAATGGAAATGCTAATTATCCTGATATAATTGTATAAGTGTTTTGAAATATTACACTGTACCTTATGCAGACATGCAATTATCATATAGTAATTAAAAAGGAAAAAAGAATTAGATTTAATGAAAGCAGTAAATAATTTATTAAAAATAATGGTAGCATTATTAGTATAAATAATCATTATTTATGATCTGAGCCAGCATCCTGATGTAGCCTGTCCACAGTGTCAATTAAAGGAGACTGAGAGAAAGGCTGTTATAGTCATTCCAGGGCCTGGGAAGAATGGAGGGGGAAAGGTTCATTTTAACTGAGACATCAGTTCTGGTAAGTAGGGCTTTCTTAGTGCTTTAGGAAACTCAAAGAGCTTTTAGGCAGAAAGTGAACTATCTGTTGACATGGCAGTAAGAGCTAGCGGGCCTAAGTGGGAAGACTGCATCTCATGAGCAGGTGATTTGTAGTATATCGCTATCTACTTATGCATCCAGGTGATTAATAAGATGGCCCTCCCGAGAGCCACTCAGGAATCACTGAGTGAGTTCCTGATGCTGGTCAGCATCTGGTCTCTGATATCATTCCGACCTGCAGCGAGGAGAATGACGGACGCCTTTCTGGGAGAGGAGTGTTGTGGACTGAATTGTGTTCCCTGAGAACTCACGTACTGGAGCTGTCACCTCCAGCGTGGCTGTACGTGAAGACAGGGCTTTAAAAGAGGAGATGAAGGTTAGATGAGGTTATTGGGCTGGGGGTTCCTAATCCAAGAGCGCTCCTATCCTCGGAAGAAGAGGCCGTGACTCTGAGACTGTGTGAGGGTGTGGTGAGGCCACGAAGAGGCCTTAGGAGAAACCGAGCCTGCCAAACTTTGCCCGTGGACATCTGTCCTCTAGAACTGGGAATAAGGAAATCTCTGTTGTTGAAGTCACCTGGTCTGTGGTCTTCAATTAGGGCCTCTGCGGCAGTTTGTAGGGGGCAGGGGTACTGACCTGAGTTCTGAAATTTAGATAGGATTGTTTTCAGGGAACCCCCTAGGTTTGGGGTCTGACGTAGAGAAGCTTAGTAGAAGTAGTGACTAAGGGTTGTACAAATGTTGTTCTTTTGAATTACAGAGTACATGAAGGAAGTCAGTGTGGATAGGGTGTAGGGAGGTGCTCGTGGGCCTGGGAGCACCATGCTTAGCCTGGGTGGGCAGGCTATCATGGAGCATCTTGACATGTAGGGACAGCATGGGGAACCTTTGATATGCAGAAAATGTGCAGCTCATGTTGGGTTTTCAGCAAGGATCTTTGACAGAGCAAGGAGTTGTGGTAAGGTGTGCCTCCAAGGACTCTAGAAAAAGGAAGGAAGCCAGGGCTTGGCGGTTAGTTAACAGCCAGGGCTTGGCGGTAGCTGGAATTAGCTGAGAAGAGTGGGAGGGCTTAGGTCTGGCCCTCTGAGGAGGCTAATGGTTTCTGAACGCGTCTTCTTCCAGGTGAGAGGAGGACTGGAGTTTTAGCAACTGCTGTGCAGGCTTCTCCACGCCACGCACTTTCCAATACTGTTCAATAGAATCATCTTGCTGCTCCAGAAAGGCTTATTATTGACAGTATTCAACCAGTCCTGAATGTAGTGAATGTGAAGTCCAGGGCTGGCTGCGGCCCCTTGATGCCCCTTCTTACGGTGCTGGTTCTCACGAATCAGCACCACCATCAGCCTCGTTTCTGCACGAGGCTGCTGAGGTGGGTTTAGCTCTAAAACAGTGTCCGCTGTTTCTCCTCATGATAGCAATTGTACATACTTATTTTAGGAAATTAGGCACTTGTTTTAGAAAATGTAGAAACCAAGACCACATGAGCATATATCTAAATAGAACAATAACAACAGCAAATATCTGGTGGTCCATAGCCTGCTGGTTTGGATATTGTATGTAGAGCTCCTGTTGATTGACAGGGTCCATAGGATGGCACAGTAAACACTGATTATTTTTGTCGTAGAAACTTTCGGAGGATGACACCTTCAGTATGTATAAAGGCTTAAGTTTGCTCCTAGGAAGATGTGGCAGCTTCTGTGAAATTAGGCTTCACAAATTAGGATCTGTAACACTATTTTAAAAGTATACATTAAAAGTTTGATGAAGAAGAATTTTTTTAAAAATAAATTTTGGTTTAAATGTCTTCTTTGTAAATAGATAATATTTGCTGTATTATCTCATTCTTGAATGGAGAACAGTTTCCTTTTCAAAGACAAAAAGCCAAATTTTAAAAGAGCTGCTCATAGACTAGAGAATAGGTTTAATGAAGTAAAGGTGGCTGTGCAGTGTTTCATGACTTGAGACAAAGCAGCAAAGTAGAGCCCTTGTCCCCTTGATTGGAAGGTAATTAACTTTGGATGGGTGAATGCCAGGCCTCCGAGAAGGCACCAAGTTTTGTTTTAATACGCTGTCACCTTTCCTTGTTGGGTTGCTTTCTCACTTGTGATACTGTGAGCCTTTGAGAACGAGCGTAAACAATGCTCACCACACTGACTAGTAAACACGCTTTGCCTTTCTATTACTGCAGCTGACTCATGTGGACAAGGCGAGCTTCCAGGTGGATGCCTTCGGCACGGCGTTCGTTCTTGATGTCCGGCTGAACCAGTAAGTGTTGGCTGAGTTGTCTCCACCTTAATTGCGCTGTCTAGTGACTTCTAGGTGCGACTGCTGGTAGTAATAGGAAAAATATGTGCGTTAGAAACTGAACAGCTTTGACAGGTAACTTGTACAGATATATCATGGAAGGCAAGAGTTCTGTCAGCATTTTGTATTATAAGAATATGTGTGACCTTACCTTCCTACGAGTGATAGATTATGAAAATATACTTAAGACAGTCTTAAGACAGTTAAAGTCCCTTTCTCATGTGTGCTTAAATGTGTACATGTTCATGTGTACCTGGGTTCAGTTGTGTGCAGATGGGTGTGGAGGTCGAAGGACAACCAGCAGAAATTGGTTCTTATCCAGTAACCGAAATCAGATCTTCAGGCATGGTGGCAGGGACCTTAGCCTACTGAACTGCTGAGCCATTTTACCAGCCACTCTGAGAGGGAGGGAGGGAGGGAGGGAGAGAGAGAGAGAGAGAGAGAGAGAGAGAGAGAAAGAGAGAAAGAGAGAGGAGAAATTGTTCACTAAAAAGGTATTTATTTATGTACATTTTGCCCAACTTGCTCAGATTTCTGTGCAAGAAAACTTTCATTTTCTGAGGAAGAAAAATAGATGGCCATATTTATCACAACATAAATAAGAAACTTACAATATTGACAGAAAAGTGTGTATATATATATATATATATGTAATATGTATATATTCTTTTTGTTTTGTTTTTCAAAACAGGGTTTCTCTGTGTAGCCTTGGCTATCCTGGACTCACTTTGTAGACCAGGCTGGCCTCGAACTCACAGAGATACGCCTGCCTCTGCCTCCCTGAGTGCTGGGATTACAGGCATGCACCTCTGCTCGTAGCTGAGGAAAGTAGATTTTTAAAGAGATATTGGCACTTTTTCTTCTTGGGCTGGGATCTATAATAAATGTAGTTGACAGGTAGCTATTTCCTTTTAAAATATTTCTTTATTCTTGAATTTCATACATATATACAATGAAATATCCATGTCTACTCTGTTATTCCACACCAACTCCCTTTATATTTCTTATATCACCTCAACACATTCTTTTCCCAACTTCTTTGTCTGTGTCTCAAATTGCCCTCTAAATCCATTTAGTATTGTTCAGGTATGGGCATGGGGCTATCCACCGGAACACAGGAATCCTACCTGTGGCCACATCTCAAAATGATTGTTCGTCCGTCAGCAACTAGTAGCTATCAGTAACTACAGTAACTATTCAGTAGTCACCCACACTGCCTCTGCTGGCATGCTGGCTGGCTTGACCTTACGCGGGACTTACGCAAGTAACTACAGCTGCCGTGATTTCATGAGTGCAATAGCTGTGACACGTCTATACCTCAGTCACTTCTGTGAAGAGACACCGTGACCAAGGTAACACCTATAAAAATAAAGCATTTAGTTGAGGCTGGCTTACAGTTTTAGAGGTTATTCAGTGATCATCATGCTATGCATGGCAGCTGCCATGCAAGCATGCTCATAATCTTTCTAATCTTTCTCAGATTCCCTGGTGGCTAAGCATGCTAATACATGAGCTTATGGGGGCTATTCTTATTCACACCACCAGAGTCTAGAAGACAGCATTTCACAGCATTCTTCCCCATTCTTCAGCTTTTACATCTTTTCAGCCTCATCTCCCAGGACATTCCCTGAGTGTGTGTGTGTGTGTGTGTGTGTGTGTGTGTGTGTGTATGTGTGCATGTGTAGGTGGAGTATGTTAATGTAGATACCCTGTTTAAGGATATTCTAAACATATCCTCGGCACTTTGACCAGTTATGCATTTCTCCATTGACTGCTGACCACTGAAAAAGAAGCGTCTAGGACCAAAGTTAAGAGCAGCCAGGGTCTATGGTATAGACACATAAGCACAAATATTTAGAAAGCACTTTAACAGCATGACCATTTAAGAAAATAACAGTACAGGACAGCATGACCATTTAAGAAAATAACAGTACAGGGTTCTATATAGAGCCAGTTGCCTCCTAGCTTTGGACTGGGAATGCAGAAAATAAATTTCATTTAATGAAATCCAACCAGAAAGCTTTTACCGACCCCATAACGGCTGTGCCACTATTGCACGACTGGGCACATCTTGCCTGCGAGGTTGGTACTGCAGCGTTCAGAGTCCGGTACCGTGTAAGACCACTGATGTGTTTTCTTCCCCATCAGTCTGTGTAGCACCTTACAGCCCTCTGGAAGCTGGTCATCAAGAAGGAAATTTCTTGATCATGTTTTGATTGTTTTTTTCTGTAGATTGTTGTTTTCGTCAGTCGGATCTTACCACCCAGCAAACCCTCATAAGTAATGAGCATAAGAGCACAATTAAATGATAGTAAGGGCAATGGCAATAGTCTGTGCTGTTTTTCAGGTTGCTGGGGTCTCTCTGACCGGCAACTTGTAGGGAGGCATCCCGTGCCTTGCACTGCAACTTTTATTAAATGCAGGGTATTCCATTTTAAGCTCTTTGTTTTTTAAATTGTGTTTTGAAGCTAGCTTACTAATGAATAGGTTTTCATAGGCTTTTCTGTATATCCTTAGTTTTGCTTCACCCACTCCACACTGCTCTTCTCTCTGTCCTCTGCCCTCAACCCCATTTAACTCACTAACTCCCAGGATTATCTACCCTCCAGTCATTTTTAATTTCACATGTCTCCTCCTATCCCTCCAGCTATTATCTTCTAGATGCGTTGTGAGAAAGTGGACTTGTATGGAGTTTTTTATCCACTGTCCTCTGGCTTAGTTCTCCCTCCACTTCCGCTTTCCTCATACTTCCACTGCCTCTCTTTCTTCCTGAGTATCCAACGTCACAATTTTAGTTTTACCTATAATCTCCCACATCCCCTCTTGTAAAGCACCCTCCCAAAGGCCTCTAGTTTCCTGGCTTCTACTTGTGCTCCAAGTTAGACACATGAAAGAGAAGATTTGAAAACAGGATCCGCATATGAGAGACAACAGCATATATCTTCCTGGACCTGAGTTACCTTATTTGGTACACTTTTTTTTTCTAGATCCATCTATTTATGCGCATTTTATGATTTAATTTTTCTTTACAACCTAGTAATATTTTATTGTGTGCATGTGCTACATATTTTCTTATCCGTTCATCTTTTTAGATGTATAGGCTGATTTCATTCTCTAGCTATCTGTAATAGAACAGTGGACATGAATGTGCAAGTGTCTATGTAGTAGGGTATAAGGTGTGTTAATAGCTCTTTTTCTAGGTTTTAAAAACCACAATGTGATATACTTTTTTATATCTCATTTTTACTTTTTTTTTTTTTTCAATTTTGTGACTTTAATGGTTTTAGTTGTCTCTTTAGTTTGTCAGAGCCACTACTGAGGCTCTGTTGGTTCAGGAATATGTGCTTTAAAAGCTTTGGGCTCATCTTTCCTGAAGCAATTCTAGGGCTGTGGAACAACTCCCCCTCAAAAACAAACAAACAAACAAACAAACAAACAGCTTTTCTTTTACTAGAGAAAAATGTGTAACAGGCTATCAGTTGCAGAATAGATCCAATAATACTTATTTTTAGATTGTAATCAAAGGAAAAGAATCATTATGTAACATTCCTTCAAAATATTTAGTAAGCCAGATTATCTGTAACCAGATTATGTAACAGTTCATTCCCCCTTTGGGTTGTAGTTGTGCAGAAGGGGTTTGAAAATACAGAAAGGCTAAGAGCAAGAAGCACAGGTAGTCCCTGTTTTGTCAGAATTACGAAGGGTGGAAAGCAGCTTCCTTCATGGGTCATGGCTATGAAATTTCACTCTTTAGGACAGATACATTAATAACACCAAACATATGGCCTGCTCTGCTACCGTTGGTCCTGAGGCTAAACTGGACCTTCCAGAGGTCAGGAAAGGGTATAGCATTTTACTGTGAAACATTCCTTAGAAAGAAGAGGGCTCAATAAAGACATCTAACCATATTATCTGAGCAGTGCAGGCCAAGTCTCTTCCTGTAAATTACTCTGCTGTTATTTAATGAGTGCATAATTAAATGCCTTGGAGCAGTGCAAGAATAGCAGGAAATATTTCTTTTCAACTCCCTGAGCATTTTATGACAGGCCACCTGTCCTGAAACCACCCCTCTATCGATAGACCACAGAGAAGCAAATGCCATAGAGTGATGGGTTCTGTTGGGATGGGAATCATGCAAGGTCTTTAGAAAGAGCTCAGTTTTTGAAGTCCTTGCTTTTGGAAGGGATTCTCCTGCACAGCTATCAGACCTAGGAGGGACCAGCTCCCAAGATGCAGAGTGGTTTTTATTTCTTTCTTTATTATGCGTTTCCCCCTCTTCTTATTTCAATAGCATCAAAATACTTTCTCCTTTACTCTGTGATCCTTATTCCAACCTTTTTATTTCCCTTTTCACTGTGGTGTTTGACACCTAAGACTCAGGAGATGAGCTGACCATGTGGAATGGGAGGTATCCTGGAGACAGTTGGGGATGGGGGTGGTACAGGAGCAAGGGTAGATTCTGGTCAAATGGGCAAGTTCAGTCTTGTCTTTTATTTAGGGGAATCATCTGCCAATTAGTCACCCTTTGCCTTCTTTCTGCTGGGGCCTTGAATTTCTAGAAAAAAAAAAATAGGAGTATTGGTAGATAAAAAACAGGATAGGAATTCAGTTGGGACCAAAAGCTAGCTCTGCAAGTCCTCATTTGTTTCCTCATTTGTTTGACTGTGCTGCACTTATAAAGTGGTTAATGCAGATGGTAAAAAAAATGATGAGATAAGAGTATAATTAAATGATGTTATATGATGATAATAAATAGCAAACCTTTCACTGTTATTAGTAAATCTGTAAATAAATATTTTGATCTTCTCCTAATTGATTATTTTAATATTCATTCATATGTTCGTCGTGTAGAGGACAAATCTGTGTTGAATAATTTAAGATTCTTATTTTCACTTTACATAGACACACAAACATGTATGCACAGGTATATGTACACAGACATATGCATAACCATATAGACA